AACATGTAAGGAAGCCCAAGGCGAAGCCGGGCTTCCGCGCTAGTTGTCTATAGAATCCATCTTGTGCGACGGTGGAGAATGCAATCTGCAGTCCTAATATTCGGTCTTATTTCACGAATTACCAGGGAAAGATCCCGAATTTATCCACACGCCAACGAAGGACAAGTACACAATGCAGGATTTAGGATTCGGAAAATCAGGCAGGAATTATTTGTAAAAAAAATACTTACATTTTGTAAATGCTGTTTTACTAATGGCAGTGGTTAAGAGCGTTTTTCTAGATGTATATGATGCTCCAGAATAAAAATAAACGGGTTTACAAAGGCATTGCCTACTAGCACTACCAAATAAACTTAATTAAGAAGGTTACATCCGCAGTATACCGGTTGATGTGAAATCACTCTAGAAATATATTGGACTTCGTTTTTCAAAGACTATTTTTGATCTCTGTCAGCGTTACAAAAGGTGCGAATGAGTCTATGATCGATAGTTCCTCAATCTCACTATTTCGAAATACACCTGATATGGGCTCAAGAACGATGAAATTGCAGTCCACACGATAGTAGCCACACTCTAAGGACTAACACAATTATTTGAGGTGGGAAAATATTTTCTTTACGGTGACTTAACCTGGTCCTCACATACACTAGATCTGATGGCTTTCAATTTTCCCATTCTCTGCGCGGACACACCAACAGCTGAAAAAAGAATATATTTACCGAAATCGGAACAATGGAACTGGAGAAACTAGAGTAGATAGTGGAAAATATCTTAGAAAGGACATGTAAGTGGAGGTGAAAATTGACCTCAGTCAAGAAATTTGATTTTGCACATGTAACATACATTTGCTTTCTGTGTAGACATGCAATTGTCTACCATGTACTCCTAAGCAATACATTTACGGTTCCTACTAATCTCGTCAATGAGCCTGATAAGTGCTTTTACTTTGCCACACCCTACCCTGACACCTATCTCTCTTTTGCAGCCCCATGACGCTGTGTTCACCACGGCGGCCACAACTCCGGTAGTCGTCTATGACTGATTGGCTAATCCAGACGGAGGTTTCTAGTGTGTATCTCCACCCTCATTAACTCCGTTCATTTATGCGTATCTGTAAACCATTATTCCAAATAAAATGTCCCACGGAGAAGGGAAAAATGCATAAACGTAGGTGTCCTGAAGAATATTTACATAATGTTGAGGTCCTGCATATGAAAGACATAGACTACACCTCGTAACGTTGACCAAATTTCCTTAAAGTGTATCTCCTTGCAAAGATGCAGCAGCGTAAAGCACGGCAATGCATACCCTGCTCACCAAGTGAAAAGAGTGACCTTCTACCCCGCGTTTCAAAGCAAATATGAAATTGTTAGACTAAAGTGAGAAGTTAATTACAAAACTTACTAAAGGCATATTTGCCATGAGATGTTATGGATTAATACAGCGGGAAATATTAGGCGATGTTCTGGTGTGAAGTTCAAGCGCACTGTTTCCTTGTGCGAGCAGAAGTCCGCAGTTGGGCGAATAATTGTCTAATGTTCCTTATACAACCGAACTGGTCAGATGTCAACAGTGCTGCTCGTGATCGTGTTAGCCATTTCACAGATTTTCATTTTGTTTTCGTGGTTCTCCTGGACCTTAGCCATTTTTTGCTTCAAGTCTGGGTGTGTGAAAAAGTCTGAAGAAAAGAACATTAAAAGAAAGGGATTTCCTCAAACTAACTGGCTGCATATTCTCTAACATCGTCCGGCTTCGTTTCGAAAGCTTCCCTAGATTATAATTCAAAAGGATCACTGCCATAGACATGCTACCTCATGAAGGCCGTAATCATAAAGCCAACTTCTGGATGACGCCTGAGGTACTCCTCGTTTGCTTTACGGGTTTTTACCTGTTACAATTTATTGTAGACGACTTACAAAATAGCCTACCTTGGTGAGGTTAATTGAAGCCTGTTGTGAGTAGTTAAGAGCACCAATATCATTTACGCCGCCCAAATCATATGGGGACTTGCTTCGTGGAGGATCGTGCTTTGGTTTGTCGGCATTCATCGTCGTGTGGAGCTATGACCTGAGGATCGCACAAGCTTTTAAGTTCAAAGTATTAAACCAGGAGAATTTCTTGAAGTTCTATAAAAAGGGAAAAGAAAAATAAAGTAATTAAATGTCAGAAGAAAGAGGAGCATTCACCGCGAGAGGTTTATTATAAGCCTGACGTGTCTTTATCTTTTTGGTATGTTTAACAATAGTTATTTTCAAAGGAACATATGATAGTCCGCTGCAGTGTCATGTTTAAGGAATTTGTATATTCATTTGAACTAATTGTTAAAAAAGCGGCGACTTTGGTCGGATTCGAACCTACGGTAGCAAGAGGAAGTCTTCAGTACAGACAAATGTCTAAGAGCCTGCGCAACGAAGCCTCACCGAGCGCCGTTATATATTCAAATTCTTCCAACACCCCTATTAATTTGGATTGAGTTGAAAAAGTTTTGTGTGACTTTTTAGTGATCTTCAGTCTCAGGCGTTTGAAATGTCGGCTTATTTTGCCAGCTAGGTGGAGTATTTTCTTAACTTTCAGGCGTTCACCCATAGCTGAGAAGATTAGGTATTGGGGTCATTCATAGCTACCTTCACGGTACCTACATGCAACACATCGTGCGATAAATGGAGTAACGTAACCATAGGAATACAAAGACGTTCTGCTTTTTTTTAACACCGTAATCTACGAACAGGTGAATTTCTAGAAAAATAAAGTCCCAAAGCGCCAATACAATGGAAGCAGTCGCTACGACAAAATGAATCAGTCTTTTGCCGAGCGTGTGACTTCATTTTGAAAATTAATCGTCAAAATGCGTATGCCTTAGTCATTTTCTCATGCCAACAATAAGAAATCATTCTATACTATTTAAATCGAGTATACTAAAATAATGCAATCCAAAAAGTACAGTAGTCGCCGGCTATTAAGCCCACCTCGGGCCCAGACCAAATT